AGGACCTTTCTCACACATTGTGCCTTTGAGAGAAACCCTGTGAGGCTGGCAGACCAACACGTAGGAGACGTGGAGAGAGATGGAGACCAGCAGGGAGGGAGCGGGGGAGGGAGAGACTGCGCGGTAGCGAGTGCGCGGGGGGGGGGGAGGGGGCGGGGGCAAAAAAATCGGAAAGGAGGAAAGAAAGAAAAGGGTCTTCTTGCTGCGGGCAAGGGCTCCTCGATTATGTAGCTGTCCTGAAAGTCACCCAGCGGAAGTGAGCAAATATGAGTGAAAGACAGGGGGTAAGGGAAATAGAAAAAAGCGAAGTTTTGAAGCTTTACTACTATGGTAGTGGGGAAGGATTGAATGATGAGGCCCACTAGAGAGGTTTCAGAGATACTAGCAAAGGTATGGGGCAGGGGGGAGTGCGTTTTTTTACTTTTAAACAGCATGGTAAGTATATGCAATTTTACTTAATTTTAAAATTTTAAAATTATTATTATTATTTGAACTTCTCTGTCCTTCCATGAACATTCCATATTTTTTATGCATGAATTAAACAAAAAGAAATTTCAAGTTAAAATTAAATAAGAATTGGCAGGGAGTGTCGAGTGTAATGCAAAAGAAGTGGTCGAAGAGCTCCAATTCTGGCTTAGTCGAAGTTCATGGACAGTGAAAAAGATATAAGGTTTTTAAGGAAAAAGAAATAAAGGTTCATAGAAAGAAAATGGCATGGAGAAGAAAAAACAAAGAATTGAGTGTGTGTGCTATTAATGAGTTTTAAGTTCAAGCTGTTTGCTGAAGAAGTGGTCCTGTGATTGCCCTTACCTTCAGATCAATCATTCAGTCACCCATCCACAGAACACCTGTTCATTCTCCTGGAGAATTCAAAGAATAAATTGCGTTTTATGACCTCAGACACTGTGCATATCAGTATCTAAAATCAGCTACAGTAAAGGGCGTAGCCCCATCTTCCCTTCCATACATTTCTCGCAGGGAAAACCCTGTTTGCATCCTGTGGAGTACTTTATGGTAGGAGTAGAAAATCTCTTCTCTCCCTGAGTTACAGGTTTGCCTGGGTGTCTTTTGCTTTGGACAGCGACTTCAATTGTAGCAAGCTAGAAGGGGCAAAAGTGGACCCAGAGGAGAGAAAGCAGAAGCTAGGTCACTCCCCCTGGGAGAACAAACAAGAATTCAGGACAAAGACAGAGCATTTCGTTCAAAACCAAATGTTGTGTTCACTGATAGCTGGTTAAAGTAAGAACAAAACTGGCTACAGAGTTCAAGGAACCCTCAGAGGAGAGGGAATCAGAGATACATGTGGGCAGATGGACAACCAGACAGGAGGCAAAAGAAGACTTTTAGGGCTAGTAAGATAGGATCACTTGATCAATCTACCTAATCTTTTACATACTTAGTCATTTAATATATGTTTACTGGCTTGGTTGAACTTACATTATCTCAGTATTCTTTGTACTTGTAATAATAACATATACAGCATTTCAAAAGATTCAGACTTGTATAAAGATGAAAAAAAACTATTCTCTTTTTCCCTTCCTAATGCGGTCAAGGTTAGCACATTCAACTGTGGCCACCATAAATTTTCTCTGTATGTAAAAACCTGACACTCAAGGAATGCTTCTATCCTCTTGGTCCACTTCTGGTTCTTCATTTTTCTGTCTATATTTGTAGTTTCATGTGGCAGTAGGATCCTTGAGCATTTGTCTTCAATGCTGTCAATTTCTGTAAAAACTTTCTAGAAGAGGAATCGCTATGTTGAAGAATAGGTTCACCTTTGAATACAAGTTGCCACTGTCAGTCACTTTCAAGAGTGCAGACATTCTTGGTCATTGCTCAGATACCTATAGTGTCCCCAGATCCCTTCCACCAGTATACATTGTTAGTAGCCCTCATCTTCTTCACCTTCTTTTCTGTGTCTCCTTCTCTTTCTCCTAGTTTTTTTTAAAATCTTTCTAATTATTTATTGACAATCTCATGGATAATATGCAGTATATCTTTCATTGCTTGATTAGTGATATTGAGCACTGCTTCATAGACGGGGTCATTTAAATTTTGTCCTCTACGCACACATTCACTTAGAAAGGTGGTATTTCTGTAGATAGAAAGATGTGGGAGAGGGGACGGGAAGGAAGGAGAATGGAAAGAGAATCTGAAATGGAAGCAGGCCCTGTCCAGGGGCGCCAGACAGTCTGGAAGCTACGGGAACAGGGACCGGAGATAAAGCTGGAAAACTTAAGGAGTTGCCAGCTGCGGTGGCCTCGCAGACCAGGAGAAGGGAGTCAGATTTTCCCCTGTGGACACCAGAGAAGTTCTGTGGTTTTTCCTTCAGGTCAATGATATGATTAGGTGGGGTTTAAAAGAATAGAAGTAGGAACAGATCCTAGGGAAGTAGAAGCTGGATTGGTTTATTCCAGATGTGAATCAGTGAGGACCTGAACTAGGCTAATGGCCTAGTTCAGAACGGACATTGATAGGATATTGACCTGCTGGATTTGAGAAGGACAGGAAAAAAGGACATTCTGTGACTCTGTGGTTTACTCTCCTGGTCATTTGTGGGCCCAGGATGGGCAGGGAAGGGGAAAGCTTCTTATTAACCCTGTGTTGACTGGCCATAGCTTCGCAGTAGTTCTTTGAGATAGGAAGGTAGTTGATGCTTGTGAAACTTAGAACAGCTGTTGTTGAGGGAAATAATAAATTTGACTTCTTTAGTGTTAAAGACCAGTGATAAATGGCTATGGAGTGCGTTCATTCTGGGTCTTAAACTTTTTAGTCACCTTGAGACCAGGGCCGTTTTATCCATGGCTGTGGAAGACACTGTGCCCAGGCCAAGGACTCATTGAGGGCCCGTCACGACACTTGGGAAATAAACACGAGAATCATTAGCACCAGCGTTAACATTAGTCTTAATGTGAACTGAAACCCGGGAAAACTATAAGATCAGAATCAATAAAAATTTGTTGTAAATTTGTAAAATGTAACATTATTTTTTTACTTTATAAAAATCCCCTATTATTCATATTCTTGAATTATTCATATTCTTGATTTACTCTTAACCATGTGGTCTATATGTATATATGGAAATGTTATGGGAAAGGGTGTTTGACCTTTAATCTTCAGGAAAACCTTATGTGATTATGGGATCATTCCTACATAATGAATGCAGAGACTATGTCTGAGTTCTGTTGCTGGGGTCTCACAGTTGATAATACATGAAACATAAATCCAGACAGCCTTAACTTCTGAGCTTGTCATCATTTTGTACATTACCTTGAAAGTCACTATTATGGTTTAAATGGGTCCTTCAGTGTTGGTGTGTTGTAATCTTACTTGCCAGTGGCTCTGCCCTTGGGAGTGCATCAATGCCATTATCAAGGTAGTGGGTCATAGAATTGTCCCGGGAGTGGGTCTCTGATAAAACAATGACTTCAGTCCCCTTCCTCACTCTTTCACATGTGTTCTCTGCCCTTCTGCCTTCCAGCATGGGATAATGCGGCATGAAGGCCCTCTCCAGATGTGGGCCTCTCAATCTTGCACTTCCCAACCTCTATGATTCTAAGAAATAGATCGTTTTTCTTTATAAATTTTCAGCCTCAGGTGTTCTGTTATAGTTGCACAAAATGGATCAAGACAGGCAGCACATTCTCTGATAAGAGACATAAAAAGAGTAGAATAGAGATGAAAACAAAAGACAAACAAACAAAAAATACTTAAGGACTCACATATACCAAGAGGAGATAGAGGAGAGAAAGTTAAGTGGTCTCAGGGCTTGAAGATATAAAAAGAGGCTGCCTGGGTCACGCTTAGGGAGTGGTGAGCCTCGTGAATAGGAAGAGCTGCCGTGTGCACTGCCACTGAGTGGCCAGTGAAGACATGAAGCCCCAGGTGCCCTGATAATGGAGGTATCTGGTTTTGGAGGACAGTCTCAATCAAGTGCATGCAGCAGAAGTCAGACTGTGGACCATCCTGCAGGCAGAGCTCATGGTGAAGAAGCCGAGGACAGTATGTCCACATCCACGGACACTTACTTCCCTCAGCTGTGTCCCAGTGCAAGTAAAAATCTGTCATCGTTTCAGAACGTGTTGTTCCTGGCTGTCTGAGTCTTGCATTGAAGCCTCAGAGGGCTTCTGCTTCCCGCTGATGCAGCCTGAGACTTTGCCCAAGGCACAGCTTTCTCTAGGAGCCCAGACTGTTCATACTTCAGTTATAACTTCACTGAGCTGAGACTCATAAAATCAGGGCAGGGGCCAAGAACGCAGAATGGGCATCTGGGGACAGCGTGTGGCACCAGGGTATTAGTCCCCCGAGGCTGCCATATCAGATGACAACAAATAGGTTGGCTTAAAGTGAAAGGATTTTATTCACTCACACTTATGAGTTCAGATCCAGGGTCAGCAGTGTGGGTTCCTTTTAGTTTCTGGGTTTTGCCCGAAGTCCTTGGTATCCCTTGCCTTGTAGACCCATCACTCCACCCTCGGCCTCCCTCTCCTCAGCATCCTCCCCTGTTATCTTCATCAGTCTGTGCCCAGATTTCCTCTTTGTATAATATCGGTCATTGGACAAGGCCCACCTTAATCCAGTATGACCTCATCTTACTGTGGTTATGGGATTACATCTGCAGAAGCCTATTTCCAAATAAAGTCACATCCATAGATACAAAGAAGTAGGATTTCAAAATACCTCTTTGAGGAACACAATTCCACCCTCATCCCTCCTTTTTTGTTGTTGTTCTTGTTGTTTTGTTTTATGGTGGAAAAGTGTCAGACTCTCCAATTGTGACCATAAGAGTCTAAAGAGGATGGGACACGGGGGAGGGGGGGGGTGTCCCTGGACAGCAGACACTCAGAGCTCGAGTCCCTTGGTGGTTGGAATAGACTCATCATCCTCTTGGTTGGGAGAATGGCCCCAGTTAGTAGAAGAGAGAACGCTCTGCTGGTTTTTGTTTGTTTGCGTACTTGCCCCTTCCCCACCAAGCTGAGCCTTTGTTTTCTTCTCTGCAGAAGCCAACAGAGCCATGGCGACTCCCTCTGCTGCCTTTGAGGCCCTGATGAATGGAGTCACAAGTTGGGATCTCCCTGAAGATGCCGTCCCATGTGAACTGCTGCTCATTGGGGAGGCCTCCTTTCCCGTGATGGTGAATGACATGGGCCAGGTCCTCATTGCTGCCTCCTCCTATGGTCGAGGCCGCCTCGTGGTCCTGTCCCATGAGGACTACTTGGTGGAAGCCCAGCTCACTCCCTTTCTCCTCAACGCTGTGGGGTGGCTGTGTTCTTCCCCCGGGGCTCCCATTGGTGTGCACCCATCCCTGGCACCTTTGCTCAAAATCCTCGAGGGCTCTGGAGTAGAGGCAAAGATTGAGCCAGAGGTGAATGACTCCCTGGGAGTCTACTGCATCGATGCCTACAACGAAACCATGACTGAGAAGCTGGTCCAGTTCATGAAGAGAGGAGGGGGCTTGCTCATCGGAGGCCAAGCCTGGGACTGGGCCAACCAGGGCGATGATGAAAGGGTCCTGTTCACGTTCCCTGGGAACCTGGTGACCAGCGTGGCTGGGGTGTACTTCACTGACAATAAAGGGGACACAAGTTTCTTTAAAGTCTCCAAGAAGATGCCCAAGATCCCGGTCTTAGTTAGGTGAGTACCTTACCCCAGAGTGGAGTGGGCCTCCACTTAAGAAGCAGGTGTGGCTCTTATCTTCTGGGTGCTTCCAGCCTCACGGAAGAAAAATCGGGTTACTCAGATGTGGATCCACTTCGCCACCTCCACCAACCCCAGCTCAGTTTTTAAAACAGTCCTTATCATGGGAGGGACAAGGTCCTCAATGCTTCTACCTTTCCAGGCCAGACCACTTAGATGTTTGATGGGAGGAACTCTGTATGGGCCATTATATCCCCCAGGGTCCAGCTTACCAGCCCCTGGAGTCCTCCATAAATTTATGGAGGACTTAACCCAGGAAGGCTCATGGGAGAAGGTGTCCTTCAGTGGAAATGAGAGGAAAAGGAAAATGGGAAGGACCCTAGAGGCCAAAGTCTAGAGAGAAGCAGGAAGGATGGAAATGGGAAGTCAGATGTGCTTAGGGTGGAAATAGGAAGTGAGGATTCAGAAGTGAGGACAGCAAAAACGATGGTACAGTATGCTAAGTGTTGAATGTAGGAAGGAATTTTACCTCTGAGGGCGAAGGCCCAGGTAATGGAGAGTGCAGGTGGGGGTGCAGTGTGGAGAACCCTGCCCAGCCTGTGCTGCTCACAGATGGTGCTGAACACACTACAGATTCACTGGCGCTCACACACATGTACCTCAGATGTAAAATTAGATGGATGAACAAGGAGGGTTAAAAGCTGGGGTCATCCCAGGTTTAGAAAAAATACACTGGGCAACACCTTATAGCACGATAAAATTCTCAGCATCCTCAGAACAAAGCACATGGATATTTTCCACAGTAGTCCTTTTTAACTTCCACCTTACAAGGAGATTTCAGAGTTTTAAAAATTGAGCATCTCAAAGATAAATGTGATTCCCTACGTAGTATGAAAATAATATCTGAGCAGGTATTTATGAGTTTATTTAGGATCTGCACACCCTTGGAGGGCATTGCTAGTTAGAAGTTAGATATATAGTG